GTCAGCCACCACCGGTGTGCTTTAATAAAGGCTTGATTCGATTATACRTCAGTGGTTTGGAAGTCAGTTTATGAAACCCTGGGACAAAGCTTTAACTATAACAATATCAGTCTTGATCCTTTTTATACTTAGGTATTGAGGAACACAGAACTCAGTTCATTTAAAATAGACCCTTCCAAATGACCATTACACCTCTGAACTTAMTTTTCCTGTGGTTAATATTTTCACTTTGGATGGATTTGTTGGAGAAGTATCTTAACAGCTAACCACTGAATGAAGTGCCCCCCACCACAGCTTTCTTCTTTGGTTTTATTTTCTCCCAGGAACATCTTGAGAACCATACTRCTTTTTGCACAGTTTTTTTCTCTCTGCAAGAGTTGGCCAGGGAAAAACCACATGTCCCACCTGGCACCACAGATGTATCTTTCTTTGATTGTATAAGTCAGATGCAGATCTGCAAATACTGCACAGAGTTGGTTGTGTGAGACAAAAATGGTGTTTATGGAACCTGGTCACATTTTTTTAGAGTATCATTGTAGAGAACAGCACTAGCTGAGACATTGGAACCTATGATACTTTAAAGGACGAAGTTGGGGCTGGACATRGTGGATTCCATGCCTGTAATCCTAGCTGCCTGGAAGGCTGAGGCAGAAGGATCGCCAGTTCAAAGACAGCTTCAGCAACTTAGTGCWTCTTWGCAAGTCCCTGACTCAAAATAAAATATTWAAAAAGGGCTGGAGATGTGGCTYGGTGGTTAAGCKCCCCTGGGTTCAATCCCTGGGGAAGGAGAAGGGGAAGGAGGAGGAGGAAGTTGGACTCCTTAATCCTTTGATTCAAGTYCTCTTCAAAACAGTTGGACTAATTATATATTTCCCACTAAGATTAAGGGAAGGGGTTTATAATTTGATCAAAATGTGAGTAGTTCTTTATGTTTTCATAGCACCCTATATTCACTCATTGGATTAYCCCTCCTCCAGTCCTTCTGAGACAGAAAGGTGGGCACGGTTCCCGTGGTGGATGGTGGAATGCCTCCATTCTTGGGAGCACTTCACATCCGCTCAGCCGTACACATTTCTGGAGGGCTCCACCTCTGTCAGGTATGTGCAGGAAAGTGAGGGCTCCCTTGGAAACAGATGCCAAGACAGGGAACAGATCCTTGTTCAAGACAGGGACAAGGCCATTTGTCCCCTCATTCACTTATCCACTCATTAATTCACTCCTTCATTTATTCTTGAAACAAACAGTTCCTAAGCCTACACTAGTGTCTCCCACGCGACAATATGACATAATGTTTAAAAGTGGAATGCTGGAACAGGAGATTTACACACTGGTCCTGATGCTTATTAACCTTGAGTTTTCCAAAAATTTTTATCTGGGCGGTTGGGAGATTACATAGTCATTCTTTATCATCGGTTCTGTGGGGGAAAGAGAAACCCGATTAGCTTGTGGTTGYGGATGGTGCCAGGCTAGATCAGCCAAGCCTCCCGGCTGTCCATGTGTCTGACACAAAGATTCACTGGTAGTCCCTGTTAATGTCTTCTTTCTGATGAAATTAGAAAAGTGGCGTTTCAGTGTTGCTAACTCCAGGAAAGACTTGGGTAGGGGAGATGTCAGTATTAGGATGCGCACTTTCACTTCTTCCGGCATGACTGGCTGCCCGGCTGGTACCCATCAGGAGGTGTGTTCTAATCAGGTGATCCAGCTGAACCCTGTAGGGCAGATTCCCAAGCAGGAAGGCTTCAATTCAAACCTTACTCTCTCTCTTACTACTTGGGCATACCCTCAAACAGCTTCCTTAATTTTTCTTAGCCTCAGCTTTTGTTTTGTTTTGTTTATTTCATTTGTAAGATAGGTATATATCACCCACCCCGTAGGGTTATCGAAGAATCAAAGGAGGTAGTGCCAACTAAGGACCCCTCCCATTTGGGTAAATACTGTGATTTCTGGAACCATGTTTATACTCAGGCATTTGCTAGATGCTGTGCTACAGGGATCAACATGGGTCCTACCTCCAGAGCATTTTTCATCTACCAGGGTAGGGCCTTTCAACAAACAACTATGTATTCATTACAATTCTGAGAAGTGTTGGAAAGGTGCAGACACAGTCCTGTGGAAGGGGAAGTGGACAACAGCTTATCTGTGGACTGGGGAAGGGCTTCCTTGGTACCAGAAGGTTCCATGGGAGCCTCTCCAGGGGAAAAGGAAGAGGCCTAAGCTGGCTGTTTATTATGGGATGAAAGTGATTTTGCAAACCAGTTTTAAAAGGATGAATTATTCATTAAATTAAGCTGGGGATAAAAGGTTAGCATTCAGGAGGAAATCTTATTCATGCCATGCTCCAATTTTCAGGTAGAATGAACTACTAAATGGAAAAAAGTAAATCCATAAAACAATTAGAAGAAATTATATTAAATATTATTTTACCAAATTGGGAATTTCTACTACTTAGGGGTTGAATGTGTACTAGAAAAGCTTGTGTGTTTCTGCTATTAAAAAGCTCATATTTCTGAAGATCCAAAGGTATTATAAACAAAACACAAGTAAATGATCAATTGCAAAACTATTTGTAAAATAGACAACAGAGGGTTGGTGTCCTGAAGACATAAAGAGCTCTYGTTAATCAGTAAGAAAAGCAAGTGTCTGCATGATCTCAGCGAGAGTAGGGACATTGTCCTTTTTAGATTTTTATCCCTAGTATATTCTCCAAAAGAATGAATGAATGAATGAAGCAATCAATCGTGATGGAAAATTGGGCAAAGTACACAGGCAGTCTAAGAAAAGACACACARGTGGCTAATTCCCATGTGAAAATGTGAAGTGACCAAAATGAAAATAAGAAGACCATTGAAATTTCACTTTCAATCATCAAATGGGCCCATTTTGGAAACAATGACAGGACCCAACATGGGTGAGAATTCAGGACACCAGCACCGGTTACCGCTGGCGGAGCGTWTGCGTGCTTCCACTCTTGAGTAATCTGGAAATGTGTTCTAGAAGTATTGCTTTTGGGTCTAGAACAGTTACTTTGACCCAACTATTCTACATGTTGGAATTAGTCCCACAGGAGAAAACCAGAGGTTTTGCAGAAATGCTCATGATCTATTTATCAAACTCGGACTACAGATGAGTATATGGGCATGATCCTCATCTGTAAAAATGCATACACAGACGTACTACACCTAGAAAAGAGAGGGAAAGATTTTATGTGACAATAACATTATTAATGGGTAGTGAGACTCTAAGCAATTTTAGTCTCCTATATGAGGTTGATTTTTTCCCCCTTTTATTTTCTACTGAATGAGCCTTCATGGCTTGGCAAATTAAAAAATAAATAAGATGATTTTATAAAAGAATGATTCTACCTAAGGAATGGGAACACGAAACTAGCATTGGGTAGGGATTTRAATTCAGCCCAACTAGTTTGAGAGGGCAGTTTGCCATTGTATCCAAAGACTAGAAAAATGCAAGAGTTTCCTGTCTGGAAACTGGGATGACATATATMATCTTCAAGTAATAGATTACAGACTTCAACGTCGATGGGTTTCATGGGCATGTTTATATTCTAGGTTTCCAGAAAAGAGTATACAGAAAATAACAAAGGTAGTAAAAGAAATTAAGGACTCCTTGTGAGTTCCGACAGTTATCACTCTCTTGTCAAGAAGATGGGCTACGAAACTGCCAAGTCCGAACATGTGCCCTCTTGTTGGTGTGCACACTTGGGCAAAGCCCAGGGACTTTTCTCACCCTACATAAATATTAGTGATTCRTTAAATAAATGGGGGAGGGCCGGCATGCAGAAAGTTTTCTAATGTCCCRGGACATATAAGTAGACATTCTGGGCCATTAAAAAAAATATCGTAGGACATTTCAAAGTCAAAGCCATATATAAGACGGCAGGATGGTCGTGCCAAGCGCCTTTAGTATAGCTTCACTTGGAATCCTGGGTGCGATCCACGGGCCTGGGTATCATGGGCTTAGACACAGGGCCTCCCTCAGAGGTCACGAAGCCAGTGTTTTAATGTCACATCACACTTAGAAATTCAAAACAGCATCACTCCCTTCCCCCAAGGGGTGGTTAGAGAATTACTCTGCAGATTCTGGGACCCACAAGGTAGAGGAGGAGGAGAACAAGCTGCCTGTGGACCCGGCACCGACCACTGCCCACACTTTGCCAGTTCATTTAGTCCAATCCTCACCCTGCACATCTTTAACTGAAGCATTTTTTTAAAAATCTCAAATGTCGTGTCACCCATGAATACTTCATGTCTCACACATTTCACCCATAAACACACTCATCTGTAATAGAAAAGGACCCTTTTATTTAGACACCCTGCCGTTACTCCGCCTAACAAAATCAGCAAGTCCCTTCACCTCTCACCTAATGTGCAGACCACGTCTTCATTTTTCTCAATTGTCTCAAGATTTCTCTTTTACAGTTGGTTGGTTTGAGTCAAAAAGTTTCAGATATTACACTGTTCGCCTCTTTAAAAATGTTCTGGATCGTGAGTCACTCAACGGGCTGGCTGCCCATCTTTGCACCTCAACATGCAACACCAGGAGACCACAGTATCACTTCATTCTTCCTCCTCCTCTTCATCTTCCTCCTCATCTGGTCACTTTCGGCAAAGCCCAGTTGCAGACTCTGATCGTCTTATGTATCAGATCCCAGCTCTGAATAATAATCTCTTGTTTTCCAAAAATTAATTCCAACTCAGCGTCCCTATGTTTTCCACCAGCGAGGATTGTTAATTTACCTCGAGATGGTGCTGCAGCATCTCCACATGGACTTGGAAGAAGAATCCCCAAAACAGGGCTGGGGCAGTGAATCATGGGGCCAGGGCTCTGCCTGTGGCCCATTTGAAGGACCCTTGGTGTGGAAATCAGAGACGGGGATTACCCGCGTCAGGTGCATGGACCCATGCCTCCGCACTTGACTTCCTATTCTCATGGGGCTCTGTGATTTACCACCAGAAATAACTGATGTGTCTGTTCTCACACAGATAATCGCTTACCAGCCGTATGGGAAGTCCGTGGACTGGTGGGCCTATGGCGTGCTGCTGTATGAAATGCTGGCTGGCCAGGTAACGTGGACTACGGCCTCCTGTTTGTTTGTTGTGTCCCCTGTGACTGCTTCAGCTCCGGGCACTGATGGAGGGCCTGACGGTGGAGTGCCCTGGTGTGGGTCTGACTTCCCTACCCGAGTGAAACTCCCCCTTGGGAGTGTGTGCGGTGCACGTGGAAATGATCTTCTATCTCCTGATAATAAAAACTCCAGTGCAGAGCTGCAGCCTGGGGTGCAGACCGTGTGGCCTTCCCATCACGCCCAAAGCACCCTGCACGTTGATGACAGCAGAGGCCGCTGTAAGTTTCCAGCATCTCCCCACGAAGGTCGGGTTAGGGTTCCCCGCAAGTTTGTCTGCACAGCTGGCCCCACTGGGGCCCACATGCCTAACTAGTGTCGTTATTTAAGGAAGAGGAAGGGTAAATAAGAGGAAGAATTTGACGGCTCCTCCCGTCTCCCCCGACTCCCACTTGGCAGTCCACAGTATCTGCACAACGATCCAGCGAGGTTGAACTTCCAGTTTAGCAGAGGCCAAGGAGACTTCTCTCAGGGTGTGGCTTGTATCAGAGAACCAAGCACAGTGTCGCTGAAGGTGACGCTTTCTGTCCTAAGGTGATACTTTCTGATGTGATGTTTTTCATGACAGTGGCTAGAGAAAGAGCTTTCCAGCAGCGAGAATAGCAAGTGCAAAGGCCCTGAGGTGGGAGTGTGTGGCTGTGTTGAAAGGCAGGGGAGCCACCAGTGTGGTGAGAGCAGGGAGCTAGTGGGAGAAGGAGGCTGAGGTTGGAGAAGAAATCATTGGTATGTGAGCAAGGAGGTCATTGCTAGGCCACTCTGGAGTGGAAAACCACTGACGTCTCCTCCATATCTCTGTCATTTTGTCTCAAATCTCTTAGGCACTGATGTAGTCTTTAGATATTGAGAGAGATAAGGTCCAGGTCTACATTTGCTCATTCTTTTCCAATGGTGTGAAGACTTGATTGACATCAAAAGAGTGGCTTGTTTATTTGTTTAGATTTTCCCCCTCAATCAAAGCTTGTTCTTAGGCCAAATTTCTTGGTGTCTGAGAACAGAAAAAAAAGCCAGTTATACATACACAACCACCGTCCATCCGTGAGACAGCAGTGCAAATACAAGCCGTCTGCACCTGAAGTTCCTTCTCCTCTAAAATTTGGACAATAAAATTTGACCCCRAATTACCAGTCTCCGGGAGCCACACTGTTCATGAAGGCACAAGAGGCCAAGTTCCCGTCCTTGATCCCATTTGAGCGTTCGACCTTTGAGCCCAGAAAACAAACCCTGCTTTCATTAAGAGTCTCATTTGCAAAGGACAAGCAAAGCCAGCAGAGCGGAACCCTAGGCTGGCTGCCAAGGGCACTCCACAGGCCGTAACATGAGTCAACTCTTGGCCCACAGGAGGGAGTTCCAGATCGCAGTCCTGCAGCCGAGCCCTACCCCTCAGCCCCAYGCCTGAGAACTCAGGGAGTACCCCACCAGGAAGGAGGTCCCCTTTGGGGAACACAATGAAGTCCTGCCTGCCTCAAAGTCCTCCTATGAAGGGGTCCTGGCCTGGCCCACGCCTCCTGCAGAGCCCTGGGCTCCTGCTCCCCACGCCTAGTGGTTCCGTAAACCTGTGGTGTGTTTCCATTATTTCCCTTCCCAGACTCAGAGGTAATTAGCCTGCCTTGTGTGCATCCCTTGAAGTTCTTCATAATCTCTATTGAAAATGGTGATTTTTTCTTCTTTTTTTTTTTTTGCAAAAAATGACACCTCATCTCGCCTTCGGTGCAGAGGCAGGCCCAGATAACAGCCTTTGTTCTCCAAGTCCTCACCTCTCCCGCTGCAAACGGGTAGTGTTCAGGGACTCTCCACCAGCCTCCTTGCAGATTGCTCAATGCAAATTCAAGTGAATTTCTGGTTTGTAATTCAGTCCAGAAAAGATGATGAAGGTTCCTYGGGTAGAGCCCCCCGGCACCTCAGACCTGCGGGAACCTCAGAGAYCTGGCGAAGAGAATAGATGCAGCCATTGGAATGGAAGATTCAGGATGAAGTTGTTGGCAGGGCTGTGGTCGAAATTTGTTCTCCTTCACCACAGAGGGCTGAAGAGGAACAGAAAAAAAAATAGTTTATTGCAAATTTCTTCTCATTTGGTTTATTTATTGTCAGCAGCCCAGGGGGCCGTTAAGTATAAACAGCCTCAGTCTTTATTCAGTTCCTGGGTTGCTTGACAAATAGGATTGCTTTAGGAGCATGAGCAGGGCCCGCCCAGCACTCTAGCAAGCACACAGCTGCTCCCAGTGTCCAGAGCCTTCGTGGTAAAGGGACCAGCCCTCTCCTCTGCAGATCCCTTCTCTACCCAAGTTACTGACGCTGTCTTCATTCCTGACGCATCAATAATGGGTATTTTATCTCAGTAATTGGAACTTCAGCCCAAATGGTCCCTGGGTGCTCGCCCAGCCCCCGTCCCAGGTCCTCAGGGATCTGCAAATAAATATGGGAGGGCTCCAACCACCACTACTAAGAAGTGATTCAGGAATCCCTCCGTGGAAAACCGTCACCCCTCGCTTGTCTGTCTGAAACTCACAGATCACACATTTCTAAAGTAGGGCGAGGGGCACTGCCCGTCCAGGAAACTCACCAAACCCCAGACTTGTTAGGAGGGAGCCTAGCTTGGAACCCTGAGTTCAGATTTATAGAAGTTAAAAAAGAGCCATGAGAATGGGCTAAAGAGGGGACAGAGGCAATCTAAAATGGTCACATTCAAAGTACCTGGGCAACACACTTTCCCACATGGTCCCCAGGCTAAGTAGCTGGCATTAGGAAGAGAAAAGGAATATAATGGCAGCTTGTCACCACTGACCTGCCTTCCACCACAAGAGAGTAGGCTGTTGCCTGTCAGAAGGCTCCTGGGGTGACCTGGAGGACTTACCAAGAGCAGGAACATGTTCACATCCTTCGATGTACAATCCCACACCCGGGATATCATTCTCAGGAGGCGATTCAGAGGAGGAAAAAAATGATATGCAGGGAGGAGTTTATAGCAGCGTTAGTTATTAGAGCACAGCGCTGGAAGCAGTTGTAAATGTGCCCGTGGACAAATGAATTGGTCTGTGTGACATATCGCCTGGGTGGCACTCAACTCGGAACAGGAACACTGGTGGCTACAGAGAAGATGTGTTTGCAGCAGTGAAAAAACAAAGAACTTCAGGTCATGCATCACGATTTGAAAATAATAAGAAAGCCTAAGAGTCCAGGCAGGTTTTGCACTTTGAATATTTAGACGAGGAGAATGGAGGTGTTACTTTCGTGGACTTCCCCTCTCCCTCATCTTACGTAATTTCAACTTAAAGTAGAGCTCTGGGAAGCTGTTCTGATTGCAATGGCCATGACTACTAGACACCAAATATTTCTGGTCCGCTCCCACTCTGGCACACAGTAGGGTGTATTCCTGGCTCTCCAGTAATTGAGTGGGGCATGGTTCTGGCCAACGAGCTCTGAGGGGAAGTGTGCCTGGGAGGGTGCTGAGTGCTGACGGAAGACACAGAGCTCCTGTTCCTGTCTCTGCCATGCAGACCAAGATGGCGGCCACTCCATCAGGGCGGGGCCTTGAATGACTGCGTCAGCAGAGCCCTGGGCGACCCCCAGTCSGCATGCAACATTGGCAAGAAATAAAATGTGTTGTCTGAGGTTTTGGAGAAATTCCAAGTGTCTGTTGCCCCAGCAGAGCCCAGCCTGGCCTCAMGGACCAGGGAGGCATGGTTAAGATGCAAGTGGCCACCACCCTGAAACAAGCCAGGGACAAAAGGGCACTCATCAGAGGATCCCACTGCATGGCGCCAAGAGCAGTCTTCACACATCTCAGGCCCTGGGGGACAGCCCCCTCTTTATTTTCCTTCACCATCCAGCTCCTGGGTCCGTGTGGGCAGGACAGTGCTTATGGTGGCTGAGACTCGGGCTCACTGGTCAGGACACCTGTGTTAGGATCCCCGTTGTTCCACAGCAGCTCTGTGGCCCTGGCCAAAGCAYGGAGCTGAACTGCAGTGATCTCCCCTGTCCTTGGGGCTTCTGGTCCCCACATGGTAGGACTGGTCCGAGGATTCAGTGAGCGGAGCCCACAGAGCTCTCCTCAGGTGCTGGACATTTAGAAAGAGCCCAAGAGGACAGTGTTACTGTCACATCGTTGCCACTCTGCCCCACAAGTCCATCCTGCCCCTGTTTTGCCACCAGTTTAGAGTCACAGTGGGCCAAGAACTTGAGGGGTAGAGGCGTGACCTGGGGTATGGTGACAGGAAAAGCCCTCATCCTTGGGGACCCACCAAGGGTGAATCTTGAGGCTCCATCCCAGGCATGTTGGCTTGGTTCTAGTTTAGGAATCCTGCTGCAAATGTCCAGCCTGAGGGGCCTCTGGGGATCCTTCCAGCGGAGACTAAAGATTCACACTGAGTTGAGCAGCTTTCTTTCCTGGAGGCCTTAGGGCGCAGAAATGTCCACGTTAGTGCAGGTCTCCCGCCTGGGCCCTCTGACCCAGGACCTAGGGTGCACTCTTTGGAGTGTGTCAGGATTCGGGTGACCTGACCTAACAGGGGACAGAGAAGGCTTGATGGTAAGCGTTCTCCCTTGACTCGCAGTGGACAGAACCCAGTTCCTCACACAGCAGCTTCCATTTCAGAAATCGGCATAGGTGGGGACAGCTCACTGGCAAAGCGGGTTCCCATGCCACGAAGCAATCAAGCAGATGAGGTAGACTCTGCACGCAACATGAGGACTCCTGGAGGGTCACCCACGTGTCTCTGAGCGCTGTTCCTTTAGGGCTTGGGCTGGGRTTGTCTGTGTCACATTTCTGCTGCGAGGACTTGAGCTGGTTGGATCTTGCTGGTGCCTCTGTCACTTGACCACCCTTGCCAGCTCCGTGGGTGTGCAACCTGGGCAGCCACACCAAGCCTGAGCTCAGAAGAGCTGCGAGTTTGGTTGGATGCTTTGCCATCACCATCTGGAAATTCTTCATAGTTTTTAATAAAGGGTCCAAGACCTGCAAATTACGTAGCTGATCCTGACCAGAGACCCTAGTGGGCCATGTTGTGAGATGTGGACTGGTGATCCAGAAACAGAGCCCCACCCCGCTCACCTCCAGGAGACCACTGACACCATAGAGCATGTGCCCACCCACCCAGGGCTCCRTGCTCATGGAGGGGTTTAGCTCACAGCCCAGAGCAGAACTCACACCTTGTTTGAGTTATGAAAATCTCCACCAAAACTTGGCCACTTCTGGACCACGTGTTGGGGAAGGTGAGGRGTCATGTGGATATCACGAGAGGCACTGAGAAAAAGTAGGGTGCATGATATCAGGCCAAGAAGATGCGKTGACGCCGTGGACAGCAGACCTGGCCATCACTGTAGCTCTTGGCCAAGAACAGCCCTCCCCCATCCCTRGCCTGGCCTGGCCTGCTCTGCCCTCTGGGGATGGAGATGACACATGCCCCTGCTGGCACAAGTTGCCCCCTGCAGCTGGACTGCCCATCTGGCCTGCTTGTGGGCCCCTGGGTGCTGTGTTCCCTCCTCCTGTGGCAACACGCATGCCATGGCAGGCTGCCCCTGCCCACTCTTATTCACAGGCAGGCTTAATTTGAGCTCTCCTCACCCAYCTACATGTTTCCACCACATAAGACATTCTCTACGGCATGCACTTACAACCGGAAAGGAGGCTTATTTATTTATATTTCTAGACAAAAACACAATCAAGTGTCACCAGTCATCCAACCCTCACTTGCCCATACCTGACCCCAAAGGCAGAGACCCTTATGACCCAGCCTCTGTCCGTGGCTCCTGTGACCTGACCCACACTCAGCTCCTGGCCAGGGCTCTCTACAGGGATGCCCCCCAGCTCTGCCTTCTCTGTGCTAAGCTCAAGGTTACCTGAGCCAAGGAGGATCCTGAAGGAATTTCCCATGAACCCATTCCTGCCGTGTACAGCCCGCCAGGGTGACAGATCGTTGGATGGGAGCCCAGATGTGCTGGAGGAAAAGGCTCCAAGGGCAGGTGGCTCAGCCTCTGCTCCTGGAGAAGTCTCCCAGTCTCTCCCAAGAGGCTCTGCGGCCTCACCGACCCCCGCCAGGTTTCCTTCCTTTGCTCTTAGTGCAGCACACAGTGCCAGGTGCCGTAGACTCCCCAGAAACCTGTCGTAGAAAACCCCACTGTGGAACGGGTAAGACACTTGCCTGTCCACCCAGCTGGGAAGCAGTGGAGCTGGAGTTCTGGCCCAGATCTGCCCAACTTCAGAGCCACAGTGTTGCCCGGTGCCACGTCACCTACCTTCCTCAGCGTGGGATTGTAAACCCAGGAGAACAGGCACGAGAGGTGTCCTCGGAGGCTAAGCTCCATTGCTGCCACCATACGGGTGCCCRCGCCCCCCAGACAGCTCCATATTGGGTCAGGAGGCCCCTTGGTGAGCTCCTGGGTCAGGGGACATGCTCCTTGCCCTGTTCTGAAGTCTCCTGCCCCCGACTGAAGGCATGAGGCATTCTCTACCCTCTCACCTTCTGCACACAAAGCCATCTGTAATCTGGCTTGATCGTAATTAGATTTTTAGCACATAATTGCAAGATTAATGGATTAATTATAATTTGTTTGCAAATCATTAAAAGCATTCCTCAAAAAACATGTTCACTACAGATTGTTTGGGGTTGCTCGGSGCAGGATAATTAAAGGGACAGAGTTAAAAATGAAAAACACAGGACAGACAGCCTAATTAAAGATAATCAAATAAACCCCAAGTTAGCTGAGCTGACTCGGCCGCCTGCGCCGCACCGGCTCCTGGCCTGTTTCTCTGTGCCGAGTCGAATCTCCAGGCACCGTGTGAATGAATCACTTCTCCTGAGTGTTGGCCCATGTTTCTCTTCCGGAACAGCCTCCATTTGATGGTGAGGATGAAGATGAGCTGTTCCAGTCGATCATGGAGCACAACGTCTCYTATCCCAAGTCCTTGTCCAAAGAGGCCGTCTCTATCTGCAAAGGGGTAAGTGGATTTGGGACCCTTTAGTGACCGTGGACCAGGAGGACAGACCTGGCCGTGCCTTTCCCAGGCTTCTGTGAGAGATGCCGGCAAGAGTATGGGCACGCCACTGCTGTTGGCTACCGAGGGCTAGAACTTGGTGACATGCAGGGCATGAAGGGACACGTCGAGGACAGAAGGAACTCAAATCCCAACACTTCCTGGGCACTTCCTGGGCCTCAGCCGTGTCATCTCCCCCTATTGTACTTCTGTCTCCTGTTCAGCTCTCACAGCCATGGGGTGGGGGTAGCCAGAATCYGCCGCAGGCCCTTGGAAGGCGTTAGGTCTCTTCTCTTGCCTCCCTCAGGATGAGCGAGTTCTTTCTGTCTCCCCACCCCTTCAGTACTGGGGACTGAACCCAGGCACACACCGCCACTGAGCTACATCCCAGCCCTCTTTAGCTTATTTTTTTTTAATTTAATTTAATTGAGAAAGGCTCTTACTAAGTGGCCAAGACTGGCCTTGACCTTGCTGTCCTCCTGCCTCAGCCTCCTGAGTAGCTGGGATTTAGGTGTGTGCCACTACACCTGGCTTTGTTTCTCTCTCTCTTTCTTTTCTTTTTTGAGATATGACAAACTTACAGAAACAGGCACAAATCATCAGCCTACAGATCCACGAGCTGTCACAATGCATATACCCATGTAAGCACAGCCAGGCTGAGAAACAGAACACTGGAAGCCCCTCCCRTCCCACTTTCCAGGTGCTCCCCAGCCCAGGGGTCCAGCGTCCCCTCTCCTGACCACGGTGCGGCTTCACCTCGTGGGTCTTGAACTTGGCGCAGACGGGATCCTGCACCATGTGCAAGGGGATGGCGTCTTTGGCTCAGCACTGGGTTGTAGCTGCGGCCACCCTGCTGTGTGGCTGTGTTCTGCTTCCCTGCCCGTGCCCTGGTCTTTGTGTGGACTCACTGCAGTTATTCACCCTCCCCCGACCTGTGGGCACTTGGGTTGTTTCCCTTTGGCTTAAGGCTGGTACAAATGGACCAGCTACGAACCCCCTGGGTCCTGTGTTCTGATGAACACTTGAGCTCCTCCCTATCAGGAAGTGCCTGGGGCTGGAATCCTTGGTCAGTTTCTAATGTTTCTAATGCTTGGCTTGTTTCTAATGGTCAAGTTTTAGGTCAGATTTAGTGAGAAAGAATGCAACACACTCTTAACATCTCTGGTTCCTTCACTCACAAAGTGTTGATCCTGCRCATCTTCCCCGGGCAGGGCAGGTGGCAGAGATGCCAGCGCAGGGCGATCGAGCTCCTGCCCAAGGAGCTCAGTTCAGCRTTGCCCCTGCATCCTGCCACAGGCACCTTGAAATTCAATAGTCGCCTCCTTGCCACGGTCTACATTTTTCTAACCCAGGGGTCTTGGATCCCGGTTTGGTCCAGGCATGAAGAGGCATCTGAAGCCCGTTACAGCATCCTGCGTGGTGCTCGGCTGGTCTCCGTGCACACTGGTTCAGGTGACAGTGTCCCTTTTTACCAAATACACGTGTAGAAYGGCAGTTACTACACGAAGAGGCCTGTTTGAATTCCTCTCATTCCCTTTCCATGGATCCAGACTGCTTCACCCTGTCCTTACTGCAACTGTCACTCTAGGAAGGCCATACTTACCCAACGACAGCTCTGTGCTCCGTGGTAGGCCTCCRGGACTGCCCAGGCACCTGCACCACTGGGCGGGAGGCAGAGCCAGGCAAAGGGACGTGTGTCTCCAGGAAGCCACTGTCACCCACCTTCTCTTTTTCTCTGCAGCTGATGACCAAGCACCCAGCCAAGCGGCTGGGCTGTGGGCCCGAGGGGGAGAGGGACGTGAGAGAGCACGCCTTCTTCCGCAGGATCGACTGGGAAAAGCTGGAGAACAGGGAGATCCAGCCACCCTTCAAGCCCAAAGTGGTGAGTCCAGAAAAGCAGCCCATGTCTGGGGTCYGACTCCCAAAGTCAGGGCGTGACCCACCCGAGAGAGCAGATGGGTGTCCCCTGGCCTCAGCCGCGGGAGGAAAATGGCCAGCGACCACCTGTGTTGCCCTGTGGTCTGAGAGGCCAGGAGTCCTGCTGCTTTGCACAGGAAGGATGGATGAGGGGAAGCTCAGCGCTCCTCACCCGCAATAGGKCAGCTGCAGAGCACCCAGACCCATGGAGAGCCAGGGCAGTCTTCTCTGGGGACTGGACTGTGGGGACACCYGCGGCCGGCAGAGCTGTACTTCCTGCCCTGGGTCCTCAGCAGGACTCAGGTCTTRATCTTTCTCCAGCTTTCCTGAGTCTGTCTTGCCCTGGTAGGCTCCTGAAGTATCTTAATCTTCATCAACTCATAAGCAGGGCCTGGTGCAACTCCCATGTCACCCACTGTGTCCCCAACAAGGAGTGCATGGCAACTGCCGGTTCTGACATCACCAACATTGTTCAGATCCTGCCTGTGTGATACCCACTTTCCATTTATTTAATAGTACTATGTAGCAGACCCTGTTGTCCGTGCTTTATGAACATGAATTCATTTAATCCTCCCAGCACCCACTGTGAGATGGACATTATGGTCCCCAGTATGCAGTTGAGAAAACTGAGGCACAGAGAGGTTGTGTAACTTGCTGAGGAAACACGGCTGGTAGAACAGAGTCTATACCCTTTCCCCCAATACCAGTACTCCATCTCAGTGGCAGCCCTACAGCCCGTTCTAATGGCTGATAGCAGCCAGTGCTGCCTTTCTTAATTTTTGAACTCTAGGGAAAAATAGCATCTTTAAGATGCCAACCTCCTCACTCACCCACATGCCACCTTGCAGTGCCTGCTTTTCCCTCCATCCCCTTTCTAAGGGCTGGTGGGGCTGCACCTCCCGACTCTGCCATGTCTTGGCCAGCTCTGGACTATTGCCTCTAGTGCTTTTCTCCCAGAACTACARGGAGAGCTGCTGTAGTCCACAATGAGCGTCAGGAACATCTGGTTCAGCCCAGATCTGCCTCCAGTGGGTGCCCCATGCGCAGGCTGAGGGGACCCCTAGGGTGGCGGAGTTACTGACTGGGTAACCACATCTTTGTTCTCAGAGTAGCAACTTCCACCACAAAAGTGCCTCTGTGTGCTCCGATCCAAGAATAGAGCCCCCTGGACTTTCTTTTTCTAAGACATTTTTAGCACAGGCTGAAGCAAAACCAAAATTAATCAGGTCAGTTGACTTCCTCCTGCATCATCGTTTCAAACAAGCCCTCCTGTGTCTGCCGCCACCACCTTCTCTGCAGCCTGCTCTGGACGCCAGGCGCTCTGCAGATCCTCTTCTTCAGGGTTTAAAACCCCGTGTAAGGTTTGGGTAGGGGGATGAGCTGGGCACAGATGGCTCCGCAGGGAATTCTGCTGGGGACTTCTTCACCCGCCTCTGCCTTCCATGTTTATTTTTCTTCTTAAATTAAAATGCAAAAAGGAGGCAATAGTGTCTTAAGCACAGCTCATTTCTTTATAGAAGCAGCATAGAGACACCCAGGGACCCTGCTCCCAGGGTCCAGCAGAATGCAATGACCTGTCAATCACTTTCTGGAAGGAGATGAGGCACCACAAAGCCAACTGTGAAGCACACTGTCTTTCCTCTATTTGTTCCCACCTTGATTTCAGAAGAAATGGTCTTTTCAGCCTCCCACTTTCCACGGCATTCTGACCTAAAGTCGTACTCCGGGAAAGTCAGAGGTGATTTAGCTCAGGCGGCCAACAATGGGAGCTGCTCCCTTTGGGCCACTGAGGTCAGGGGAAGCAAAGTGGTTTCGACAGCAGGCAGCTGAGGCTGGAGAGCTGCTGTTGGTTTTCTTGTTTGCTTATTTAAGTGCAAATAAGGTGGCAGAAGGGAGGTCCCTGGGAACACACAGATTCCCAGGCTAGACCAAAGCCAGCAGCGTCAGAGAACATCAAGGCCAGAGAGCTAAGTGGGGGTGCTCTGGTCCCCAGGAGGACAGCGGACAGCTGCTGAACACCTGGCTTTCTCCCAGCTCCTGGCACCAGGCCACACGCCCACAGCAGAGTCGGCCTCTTAATCTCCGGTGAGGGGCATTTCCCTGAAAGGGCACCTGGGACGTGGCACCATACTGGAGCGATCACCATGTCAAGGACAGCTCCAGTGGTTGGAGAGGACATCGTTGACCCGAGGAAGCAACTTCATTCCAAGCTACAGATGCTCTGGCTGAGCACCTGCGGCAGGCGAGAGCTGGCCACAGGCAAAGTGACCCTGGTTTGTGGTTTCCCAGCTTCCTGCTAAAGAGTTTCCTGGCCCAGGCCTAACCAAAGAGTCCAGTTTACAGAATAAATGCAGAACAGAGCATTTTCTGAGAGATGGTTCTGTTATATCAAAGAGAGAAGCAGCAGCCCAAGCCTCCGGCCCACTGCTGAGGAAGGCAACAGGCCTCTGGCCTGCCCACGCACTGACCTGGCCCCAGAGGGTGCCCAGGAGCCTTCTGGACCCTCCCGACACAGCTCGTCCATCTTAGTGAAGCCAGACTAGCAGGCACTGGTGAATCTACTTTCCCTGAGATTCGCAGGATTAGGGAGGGTTTGCTGTTGTCTGTGCAGGACCGCTCCCAGCCCCATGGCATGAGCCTCTGCCTGTTGCAAAATACCAGCCACAGGACTTGAAGTACTCATGGTTATTTACTGGGTGCTTCTGGAGGCCAAATTTATATTTGTAGAATCACGAGACTATCATCTTTGTATTTATTTATTTATTCATTTTTGCAATACTGGGGATTGAACCCAGGAGTGCTCTACCACTGAGCCTTCTCTATTGTTTATTTTGAGACAGAGTCTCAGTAAATTGCCCAGGCTGGTCTCTTATGCTCATCCTGCTCCAGCCTCCTGAGCRGCTGTGATTACAGGTGGGCACCACCAAGGAAAGATTATTCCAGAATCGCTGACTCCCCTAAGGAGTCTGGAAGGATTATATCACTGGTCAGCGGCAGGTCTTACCTGGAAGTATCAGGGTTCCCATGGTGTGTGATCTTTTTATCGTCTTTCTGAAGGCCAAAGTGACATTGGCAAAGTTAATCTTTAGACGGAAGTGTCTTGCAAACTCTGAGATCCTGCCACAAAGGACACTTCATAGTGCTGGGGTCCATCAGCAGGCTCCTCACAGGACTTTCCATCGCCCAGTGACATGGCTTCAGCTCAGCCATGACCTGGGCTCTACATAAGTTCACACATAAAGGAAAGAATTCTGGGCGTCAGATGTAGGGGACTGTGGCCAACTCACCTGAGGTGTCTGGAGGCTCAGAGGTGAGGGTAGAACCTATTGTACCAGCCAAAACGGCGAGAGTCCAGTCCTGGACAGAGCCTTGTCTTTGTCCAAAGCACCACCATGTGCCATTGTGAAGGAAAATGATTTTCTGGAAGATAGGACCATCAGGTAGCAGGGCAGAGCCTCCGGGTACTGGTTTGTTTTGCAAAACAAAAGCCAAGACATGCTGGAGAGGAAGCAGACACATGTGCAAGGCAGGCTGGGCCCAGTGATCTCATGGACACAATGTGAGGACCCTGCTGCACAGACAGAAGTGTCAGCTCAGCATTGGCCTGACTTTTGGTGTAGAACACCGAGCAGTGGCCCGTCACTGTTCAGAAGATGCCATCTTTTTTTTTTTTTTTTTAGTGTAAAAGCGATGTCACCTCTGAAAAGCTTAATCTTCAGTTACAGGGGAAGAAATAAGTGGTCCTCTGCATCCCCCTGGCATCAAGCAAGCAAGGGGGTGACCGGCCAGCTTGGCCCACCTGAAACCTGCCCAAGAAAGACTTCCCTTTGCCTGAACAATGAATGCTCCAATATTCTGGTCAGCGTCGCTTTGACTTTTGCAGGCTTTTATCCTGATTTATTATTCATGTGGAGAAACTGACTGAGACCAGCCTTCAAATCTCTCTTCCTCCTGCTTGTCACAAAGAGCAGTTTACACAAATACCGGAAATGAAAAGTTAATTGATTTTCTTTCTTCTTTTTTGAATCTGGTCCATTGGCACCAGGGAGTAGAATAGCTAGTTCACAGGCAGGCCGGAAACAGTCGGCGCACTTTAATAGTTATTGGAGAGAGAGAAAAATTAATCCATAAAGTTAACACCAAGAAACAGCCCAGAGTTGACAGGTAGGCAGAGCACTTTGGAAATGGGCCTGTCTTTCCTAAATGACTTTTCTTGGGAAATCACTGTAATTATTCTATCAAAAAGACATGGAAAAGAATAGAAGAACTTTCATCAGGACATTGTCATCCTTGCAGCAAGAGCCAAAGAGAATAAAAAAAAAAAAACATGAAGACAAAGCATAGGTGCCACTGTGTGAGAAGGCACAGTCCTGAGTGACCCTGTCACCACAAACCTCTGCATTTCACAATGGCATTCRCTTGTAGAGAGAGTTCAAAGATGGTCTAATTATCAGGATTGATGCAGTGATCCTTTTCATTGTTTAAAAATAATTTTTAAATAATTTCTCATTTCAGACTTGTAGAAAAGTTGGGAAAATATTGTAAAGAATTTCTGCTTTCCCTTTACCTAGATTCCCTAAGTGTTAACTTTTTATCACATTTGTATTATTATCTTCCTACTCTTTCTCAGCCTGTGTACACACACACACACACACACACACACACACACACACAGTTTTTCTAGAAAAAAAACATTGAGACTAAGTTGCACCTAAGTAATTCCCTGTGTATTTCCTAAAAATAAGGACATCTCATGGTACAATGTTCTTTTACTAATTACTCCACAAAGTTCTTCATACAGAGCAGCAGCTGTCCAAGGAAAAAAGGTAGGGCCACACAGTGACCATCTAACCCATAAAATACCACAGTGCATCTGAGCAGTTCTCTTGAGTGACAGGCAGATTCATTTGCTTGGYCTTTCCATCAAGAAAAGGCGGTGCTGATTAAAATTGAGATACTCGAGGCTCAGGGAGTTTTCTGACAGCATATAATACTAACCAGCCTTTGGAGACTCAAAGAAATCCCATCATGACAGACATAGGTTTGATTCAAGCCTTTACAACCAATCTAAAACAGCACCTTTTACTTGGTTAATTAGAGGCGAGCACTTTTATCTATTCTTTGATAATCACTGTACCAAATACCACTGTGATTGGAAGAAAAAGGAGATATTATAAATAATAATCAATACAAATAAGTAGCAAGGCCAGGCATGGCGGTGCATGCCTGTAATCCCAGCGGCTTGGGAGGCAGAGGCAGGAGGCTCATGATTCAAAGCCAGCCACAGCTACTAAGCAACTCAGTGAGACCCTGTCTCTAAATAAAATACAAAATAGGGCTGGGGATGTGGCTCAGTGGTCGAGTGCCCCTGAGTTCAATCCCTGGCACCTAAAAATAAATAAACAAGTAGCAGTATTGCAAACCTGGCTGCTTCAGTGGTGAGGAGTGGCATAAATACAGACCCGTGCACCTCAAGTTGTGTGACTCCACAGGTTTCCGTAGCCTGAGGTGAGGGTCCTGACAATGATGGCCTTTATACGGTTCTCTGAAAAGAAGCTTTAATCCTGAAAGGCTAGCCACTTCATRAAGTCCAAATAGAATGCGTGAGAAAATAGCCTCAGAATTTCCATAGAAAACAGCTCACAGTAAGCCAGAACCTTTGCCCTCCCGCACACACGGCTCTCACTCAGACAGGGAGTCCACCCCTGATGTCCATGGCCTGTGTCCATCTGCAAACTCTCTGAGAGTTCATCTCCCTCCTCCACAGCATTTGCCCTTGGAGATAAGGCTCCAAGGCAACAGGTGAGGTGCGTTTAGAAATCACAGTCACCTCCATCCCTCCCACAGGGCAGGAGGTGGGGGAGGCCATCCCTCTAAAACAATTATTAGTTATTAAAATAGTATCTCTGTGTGGTGGAAGAAAGAGTCGTGCTGTAGAGCAGGATATAAGCCGAAAGGTGACTGCTCGCCTCCCCTCCCCGTGACTGTTCCCACTACTTGGGATCTTTTCTGTAACCTCCAGAAAGTTCTGTGTGAGTGTGTGTGTGTGTGTGTGTGTGTGTGTGTGTGTGTGTAAACATCTACATAAGTGAGTGGTGCTGTGCTCTCCACCTCTGCCGCAATGCTAAATGGCCTGGGTTCCCCCTTGTCAGACACAAGGGTTCGTGACAAGCGACACATGGCCATTCTGGTTCTCAGGGTCCCAGGCCGGCAGCTGACTGTTCTCCAAATGCTGTCCTCTATCCGTTCTTATTCTCCAGACTTTCTGTACCAAAATGCACTGGCTTCAGTGGGCATCCAGGCCTTCGGTGAGCACATGTCCAGAAACTCGGGTGACTAAACGAGCAAACTAACTCTCACTGTAACCCCTAACSGTGTGCTCCTGCTTGCGTTGGCCATGCATGCTGACCCCAGGAAGGGCAGAGCAGGGGCTGAAGACCCCCCCTGGAGGGCTAGGAAACGGAGACCTTCCCTCCAGTGAAGCCCAGGGCCCAGTGTGCCGGCTCACTTCTGCCGTGGGTTATTTAACCTCAACGAAGGCYGTACCGTGAGGAAGCTGCTCAGAGGCCTCCGTGATGTTCTCTGTGGTGCCCCCACTGCACAGCACCCTGCTGAGGCCTGCCCTGCACTGGGACGGGAAGCACACGCCGGGTTCCTTACGCCCACCCAAAGACATCCCGTGGCGTCCAGGGACTGTGAGGGACCTCCTCCTCCTTTCCATGTTTCCTTTTTCTCTGGTGCTGTAACGGGCCTCTACGCTTCGTTTGTTCTGCRCTCTGCCCCCTCTTCTGGGTCCTGTTGGTTTTGCTATTTAACAGCTGTGTTTTTGAGCTCCTCGTGTTCCCATGCCGCCTCCGTGGGGTCATGTTCCACATGGCTGAGACACTGAGGTCCAGGGCAGGATTGAGCCCGRCCCGTGGGTTACTTGCTCATACCTGGTGACCTCTCAGGTAAGGCTTACAGCTGAGAAGCCAGCCTCCGCTCTCCCCGCCACCCCTCCACAGGACTCCAGGGCTTGGCAGCTGGTGTGGGTGGGGGAAGCTCTGCAGCCCCGGCTTCTAGGAGGGGTCTGTGCTTGGAAGGTCTTGAGCATGTCTGACTTCTCCTGGGCTCGTTTTATTAATTAGAGAACTTACCAAATGGGCAGGAAGGTCAGAGTGATGAAGGAGTTGATTCCTTAATCCAGAACTCAGGAAGGGGAAGGCACATTATTAATAGTGTTCCTCCTCCTCTCTAAAGTTGGTCAGACGCCCTTTACCTGCTGGGCACTGGCTTCCTGTGTTGTACCTTGTGTCCGGGTCACGACACATCGCTTATTAAGGAAATCCCMTACACGCCAGCTCCCTCCATCCTCACGACAGCCGAGAAGGTGAGGGTCGMATCCCCGTGTTACCTTTAGGAGTTCCCCAAAGCTGTACCCTGGGGCTTGGGACCACTCCACCTTGCCCCCGTGTTTCCCTCAGGTGCTAGCACCCCCAGCGAACACAGAAACCCCCATCCCAGGGAATGCTGAGGAGCTTGCCTCTCTCGTGGCCCACTCAGGGCCCCCCGCCCGCCACACATGTTTGTCCCAAGCCAGTTGGGTCCTACATACATCTCAACCAGTGAAAGGTGGGGGTCACAGGGAGCGGCACMGGAGGTGAATCAGGCACAGCGAGCCCAGGAGTTCTGCTCACACGTCACTTTAGCTGCTGTTTGCCTCAGGTGGTCTGGAGCCCTGAGGTCACGGACAAACCAAAACTGAGTGTCGTCACACACTGCCGCGGAAGCTGCCCTTCACGTGACTGTGGTGACCACCTTCCYGCTTCATCCTGAGGAATGCTTGGAGGCTGTCTGCTGTCAGCCCAGCTTTAATTGTCACTCCTTCACTTCTTCATCCACACGTCCCACAGGGTTCCCCTTAACCCTTTCACCTCTCTGCCTCCTCTTCTTCCTCCCTGCTCAGCTCCAAGATGGCGCCCAGGGCCCATCWAGCTGGCAGTGGAGTCAGATTGGATCATAGGTCGTAGGCAGAGTCTCTTCTGCCTTGAGAACGCAACAGCTTGTTGAGTTGATTGCTTGTTTTTCCAAAGGATCTGAACAGCCCTGATTCCCATGAYCCTTTTCAGTAGGTTCTGGAGGTGATATGAAGACAGTGGCAGTTACCTACAGAACATCTTGAAAAACACCTCCTAAAGGAGATGRTCTATTTCTGGGCCTCGTTTTGCTAAGAGATGTGGAGGGCTTACTTGTAAAGTATTGAGAGACCCTCCACAGTAGAAAAATAAGTAATATTTTTCGCAGTACTGAGCTTGTGGCAAAAAATAGTTGTACTTCCTGCTGGCCCTTCAGTGGGGGAAGGAGATTTCTGGTATGATCTTCCTCAGGATAAGCATCCTTCTGCATCCTTCTGATTCTTGGACCTCACCTGGTCCTCAGACTCAACCTCCAGCTTTTCCAGGGCTTGCTTCCCCCATGACCTTTTAAGATGCTGTCCTGTTCCCGTGTGTCCTGTGGTGACAGGTGTGAAACCTCAGYGGTTTATTTCTTCCTCTTTGCCCTTGGCCTGTCCTTGCCCCCTGGTCTCTTCACCTAAGTGAAYCAGTTTAAGAAAAGCTTTCGTTTGCCAAAATGGGATTTCTGTCTCTCTCTCTTGAGTCCCGGGGCGGGGGGGGGGGGGGAATTCCAAAGAAATTCAGAGTGAGAAAGGAGAGGAAGGTATTTCTGCGGGTAAGCAGTGTTGAGGCCAATAGTCTCACTGCCATTCAGTGTGATCGCAGAGCAGGAATTAGACCAATCTGTGATCATGATTTCCCCTCAGCTCTACAGTTATCAGCAGGGTCCTGGAGGCTGGGGGTGGGGGAGGACTTCTTCATCATTTATTGCAGATTCTCACTTTACAAGCAGTGGAAGCCCTTAGAAAGAGCCCTTCTTGAGAGCCCCAAGATAGAATTTGACATCCTCAGGCATCCATCCCCCATCCTTCTCAAAGTTGATGTTTGTATGGTCACCTCTTTAGATGGTGAGAGCTCTCTTTTCCTTTATTTTATTTTTCTTTGGCAGTAAAACCCTGGCTTTTGGAAATGTCCTGTTGGTGAATACCATAAAGAGTACTCAGAGGAAAGGGTCAGACTTGAACAGTCTTTTCACAGAACAAATCAATAAATCTAAAGCTAGACAGAGATCTGTCCAGTCAGGCCAAGGGAACACTTCACCCCGGCCAGCCTTGCTTTGCCTGTTAGGGACTTACATTCTTTATTGATATTTTTTCCCAKAAATTCGTTCTTGCTCATCTTTGCACGGTTAGTGAGTAGTAGAGAAGTACAAATGATTCTTTTTGAGGAAGAGCACATCCCAGTTTCTGGGAGCACCAGCAGTAGGTTTACTTGAGTTCTTCTGGAAAATGGGTATTAACTCACTGGACTCCAAGAGGACATGTTCTTCAAAGCCTACTCTCCCTGGATCCTGACCCTCCTACACTGCTCTTGCCTGGGGCTCCTGCAGCTTCTCCATCTTCTGTTCTCACACATGACTCTTCCTGCCTAATTGCCTCATTTGGCCCCTACATTCGCCTTCACACTGAACCTAGGACTTACTCAGCCTCACATTACAGCCTGGATGGATCCCAGAGTTTCTCAACAGCAGCATAGTTGACATTTTTTAGCCTAAAATGTCCTGTGCATTTGAGAATTTTTAGCAGCCTCCCTGGATGGTACCCACCAGATGCCAGTAGTGCCCCTTGCCTAAGTCATGATGATCAAAAATGGCTTCCCTGTGGAGCAAAATCTTCCTTAATTGAGAACCACTTTCTTTACTGAAAGAAAGGTTCTTCCTCGACCTGTTTCTATCATCACAGCAGTGTCTGAAAGTAACACCCCAGTGTAAGCTAGTTTCTGTGTGTTTGCCTCATTGTTGAATCAAGTGCAGATTCCTGATTAAGTCTTGGGAAGATACAGTGTGCCCTGCTGACTTCTTGAAGAGCCTTTCTCAATAGTTCAGAATGGCCTGTGCATGTTGGGTGATGTKAACCTCATATTCTGTCTCTGCTGACCTTGGCTTTGAAGCGTTTTGTGTTCTTCCAGGGTAAAGCATCATGGAAACATGGAGTATGAAATTGGAGGCTTTGTCACCCATCTGTGGGAGGCAGGAGTATATGAAGAGTGAGCCTCACAGTCTGTATGGCCTCCACAGGATCACTCAAAGACCCCCAAACAATCTTGCCACACACAACTCTGCCACCACGCCCTGTCACTAGGTGTGAAGTCTTCCTGGGTATCCTCTTGAGATGAATAATCCCAAAAAGGAATGCAGTTATTTAGGATTTACTTTAAATTTAGGCCATGCTTTCTACCTCAACAGGTACTTAGGAGCAAGTTTTATTTGAGAAAAGAGGGTGGGAAAGGTATAATAAAACTTGATTCTCAAGAAAAACTTCTAGAAGATAGAGAAGAAAGGGAAAAGAAGAGGTGGGAAAGTACAGCCATGAAACTAATCTGGTCTTATTGTTTTTAAATAAAAAAATAGCAATATGTATTGAACTCTGACTACATGCTCAATTCTGTTTGAAACTACACATTGAGCCTCAGAGCAGCCTGGGGAGAGAGGTGCAATTATTCTCCCCACTTTACAAATGAGGAAATTGGGTGGAGCCCAATTGACAGTTTACATAGGCCATCTTCTGTCAAAAGATCCAAAAGTTTCTGATGAGATTAAAATTCATGTTAACTCAGAATCAAATCATGTTGCCCCTGTGGTACAACCAACAGGTTGAAGGCAATAATTAGCAACATGTTAAAAATCATTGTGAGTAACACCAGTGGAACTCCCAGATTTGTTTCAGAGTTTTTATGGGGTCCCAAAGACTTTGACACAACCCTTCTTCATGGCTGGAAAAGTGAGGGGACACCCCTTCCTCCAAACTTGAGTCAGACCCCCAAGCAAAGCCTTTAGACACAGCTATGCACWGTATTTCCCAGAGATCATCATGGAGCACCTCTGCCTATAGCCTCCATTTACAGAGTACCCTGGTGGACCCTGAAGGAGAACAGTATTCAGATAGCCTCCCCAAYATCCCCCTGGGCACCAGTGCAAATCCCCCAGCCCAAGACAACCTACAAAGAGTTCTGCATAGACCTACCTGTCAATTGACCAGCTCTATCCAGATGCATAGAATTACAGCCAGCCTCAGAAGTCCATCTCCCACCATTGCTTCCACACCTACTCCATCCTACTTGAAGATTAGGGACTAGAGTTTCTATAACATCCCGGTTAGAAAGCAAAGATATACAACTTTTGTTTTATTACAAATATTATTACAAAGAACCAGATGTGGTACAGTGAGCTAACCCTCTCAGTTCAGGAGTAACTGTCTGCAGTCCCAGCCAATATCCTGGCTTTTTAACATGGAGCCATAACTGGGGCCCTGTGTGCACAAGGTTCATGCTCATAGCTCTGCTTGCTCAGAGGGGTGGAAATGAAAAAAGAGATGCTATCCCCATATTGCTACTTTTGCCAAAAGTGCATTTCTACCTATGTTATTCATCCTGGGGGTATGCAGGGATTTACAGTTGAGTAAGTTGTTTGCTGTGCCTGGCTTCTATTACAGTAGGCCTGCAGGTTCTCTGAGATTCTTCCTACCTAACAGTCCCAATTTCCCTGGGCCACGCTCCTCTCTACAGAGTGCTTTCAGAGAACTGCCCCCTGTGTTTTTTTTCCCCTAACCTTTTATTTTTCTTTATTTTCTCCACAGTGTGGCAAAGGAGCAGAAAACTTTGACAAGTTCTTCACAMGAGGGCAACCCGTCTTAACACCGCCAGATCAGCTGGTCATCGCGAACATAGACCAGTCTGATTTTGAAGGGTTCTCATACATCAATCCCCAGTTTGTGCACCCAATCTTGCAAAGTGCGGTATGAAACTCACCAATGACAGCAAATGCCTCCCCAGCCCTCAGCCCTCCCAGCAATGGGGAACAATTCTCAACCCTAAAATTTTAAGGCCATGGCCTTGTGTCTTATTCCACACAGAGGCCTGAAAATTGTAGGGTCATTAGTCCACATGGGGTCAACTTTTCAGGGTCTCTCTACAACCAAGAAAATTATCTTAGTAAAAGATGACATAATGTACAGTATCCAGTTTAATTATGTAGATGTCACATCAGGGTGTAGGTTAACCCTTCCTAGAAAGCAAACAGACTCTTGMCCCTTTTTTTTGGTACGACTTGATATGTTCTCCATACCCTCCATCTGTGGATTTTCACCATCAGGATCCCTCAACCAGAGATATTCAAGTGAACTACCCAGCCCAATGTGTTGAAAGCATCTTTTCCTACGATGTCTTTGGAATGAAAGGATAGGGAGCCCAGAGGGTGAACAAAGAGGGATCGGGGGCGGTAGAAGCTTCAAGATACCCACCACTTTTATTCTCTGCCTTGATGGAAACAGTCCCTAGAATCTGAGAGGCCAGGATGAACCTTATCATTGTTCCCAAACATCATGACCCAATTATGGTCCAGCTGTTTAAAAAAGAAAGACAACTTCAGATGAGTGTTGGGTGAATCTATCATCCATTACCCAGTTGGTTGATAACTGTCTTGATACTTGCATTCTTCTTAAGAGGCCAAATCATCTAAGGACTTTGCTAAACAAGCATGTKAAATCATGTCAGATCAAGGATAAACCAGTGTGTATGTATGCTCATTTTAATCTCTGGGAGATTGTTCTTCAATCCAGGGTGCCATCAATAACCATGCCACTACTCATGAGTGTTGTTAGCCAACCCCCTCCACCAATATTTTGCTACCTATGTTGTCACCCTTCCTAAGAAGCTGAAGGTTATGCCCTTTTGTACTTATTTATTTAATAGGCTGCTGTGTCATTTAAGAAAGTACGATGTATAGTAACTTAATCAAGTCTTGATTCTAGAATCAATCCCTACTTGTTGGTTTTCCTGCCTTCTCTAGCCCTAGACATTCACTTAGAGATGAAAACCAATATGGTTTGGGTTCCCATTTCCTATTGAACGACACACCTGGAGCTATAGAATCAGGATGCCTGGATGCTTATCAGCTCAAAGATGTTTTCTTGCTAGAAGGTTTTTAGTATGTTTTGCAAATGCATCATGCAATGGATTTGCATGTTTATAATAAACCTTAATAACAAGTGAATTATATTATTGATATAATCTTATCAACTATAAARAGTATTATAATAATTTTATAAGACACAATTGTGCTATATTTGCGAAGGGTCATGTTTCTAATCTGCTAATTTTATGATTAAGTTTTAGCTGAATTCTTTGATGCTGTGCTTCCTCTCCCCTCCCACCCCTGCACATTGGCACTGTATCAGATATATTAATTTTTTAATATAGATCTAATTTCAAAAATGAATGGCTAACTTTACATGTTTAATTAGGCTTTTACTATGTATGTGTATATATTTATATATATATATATATATGTATATTTGATTCTACCTGCAAACCAAAGTTTCGTTTGTGGGATTATTTTTGAGATGAGACTCTGTCTTAGCTTCCTAATGTCATCTTCTGTTCAGGTACTCCCACCACTCTTCCTCTTGGGGATAGCACAAAATGTTTGAATCCAGGATGTCTAGTATGTTTGTGTACATGTGGCATTATGGCATTGTCACAGTACCTGGACTGACTCTGTGTGTGTGTGTGTGTGTGTGTGTGTGTGTGTGTCTGTGTGTGTGTGTGTGTATATACGTGTGTGTGTGTGGTTTTTCCTCTCAGCCTGTGATTGTTGGAGACTCTGGGCTGGAGGGAGAGGAGGCCCCCTTCTTGCTGCATATCTGGCCACAGCAAAGCTGCTCCCCTCATTTGCTGCCCCACTGTTTGCTTCAGCACATATAAAACTTCATGAGACAAACCAGGTGTCAGCCGCTGAGCACAGCCATCCCCTGAAGCTACCACCAGACACTTTTCATAGGCTGCACATTTTCTTCCAGCTGTTGCTAGAATTGGCCATTCAGATCTTGTGCACCTCTCTGGCATGACACTCTCCTCATGCAAGGTCCTCAGGAAAGCCAGCCAGTCAAATGGAAGTAGGTATTGGTCCTTATAGGAAACTGCTGTATTTCCTCTCTGAAGCATTTCTCAGCTGAGCTCCCTCATTTTTACTCTYTGGATGTTCACACAACATATAACCCCTGAGGGTCTTTGAGGTGAGAGGCCTGAGCTCTGTTAGAAACCCTGATTAGAGGGAGAGATGAAGTAGGGAGTGGGCTAGACCATAAAATAGCAGTTTCTTTTGCCATCTTTTATTAATTCCAGACTTCAAAACTCAGAAGGGTCCTAGCTCACTGATCCCTGAAGTCCTGCTCGTCAGGGCATATTTTGGGACATGTCCTCATCAAGGTACCACACTTGGTCAAATGGAAAAGGAACTGGTTCATAGAAAGCCTAGGAGAAGACAGGTACAGTGTAATCCCGGTGACTTAGAAGACTGAGGCAGAAGGATCACAATTTTGAGGTCAACCTAAGAAACTTAGCAAGACCCCATCTCAAAAAGAGCTGGGGATGTAGCTCAGTGGTAGAGCACCCATGGGTCCAATACCCAGTACCAAAAGTTGTGGGGGGGCCTAGGAGACAAAAGGGCTGGTCTCCCCTGCCCCAGGTGGAACAGGAACAGGGTTGGTCCCCACACAAGACATGGAAAGGAGCACTGCGGTCATAGACCATCAACCCAGTGTGCCAATCTGCCTGCTTATTGTAAGAAAGCAGAAAGCTAGGGCTCTCCCTCATGTGATTCTAGCAATTCCTACTTCTCTAGGAAACATATTCAAACTCTTGGTGGCCTCTGTCCTTAAGGAATGTGTGACCATTTTCAAAGAGAGAACCCTAAGCATGGTCCAGCATGTTGCCTAAGGGACAGCAGACTGGACCTGGGGGCAGAAAATGGTAAAAATTAGGGCTGAAGCAGAATTCATGGTGTGGCCTGTTTTGTGTGTGSTGAACCTAGATAAAGGCCAATGCTTTCAAGATCTGAGCAGTCCAGGACAGTGATTGCTGAAAGACTAACTCATGTGGATAGCTACTAATAACTGTTGGGGACTCTAGGAAGAACCTGCCCCTGAGCACTTGCTGGCCTATAGAGAAGAATCTAGCACAAATGATGTCTCTGCAGGATCGTCATGCTGAGACCCCAAAAGGCCATTCAGATCGCTTTKCTTTCTCTTCCCTTGGAAGGTGGCCGCTGCTCAGTGGCAGAACTTTCCTGCAGCTGCAGGCCAGTGGGCTGGCTGCCCTGCTTTTGGCACCATGTCAGAACTTACCCAGTGCTTGGTTTGAGTGGAAGGAGCTGGACTATGCTGCCAGGTGCAGCCCTCGGAGGTCAATGGGAGGCCCACCTCCAGGCAGGAACTAATTCAAAAGGTAGATGGGAAACCCAGAAACCCAAACGATTGTACCCCACCCCACTGCCTCCTTCTTGGTCCCTGTGGCCTCGTTTGAGCTATGCAGACTCACCGTCTGCCTTGGCTTCATGGGATGCATTAGGCTTTTCTATGAGGATTTGTGGTAGAAAAGCAGGTGGTGGAGAGCTCTCTGGAAGCCTGGCCTGAGATGGTTGGTTGAAAGATTATCRTAGACAGAGACTGACACAACCTGGCCAAGGATGGTCAGTCACCTCAGAGCTAGAGTTCTTAGCCAAGTACGGTGACTTGCCAGAGTGAGGGTGCTGACCCTGAGAAAGTCACCCACTGACGTGGCCTGGAGAGAACAGAGGGGTTGCTGGAGGCCGGAGTCGGCCAGGGGTTGGGAGAGAGCAGGGTTTGAGGGCCTCGGGGAGGAGGTGTGCTGTTAGAGCAGAGGAGCTGCTGCAGAGGCGTCGGTTCAGATGGGAGTCTATCTGCTGCTCTCTGAGAGTGTGTTCTTTGCCAGGGACCCATTTCGTTCCTTCTCAGAAAACAGCTCCTGAATGCCCARGACATCCTCACCAGCCACAAGAGGCCCCTTTCCGCTCGACCTTGGGCCACGCCAACCCTGGCAGCCAGCAGATTCCCTCCTTCTCCCTCTGTGRCTTCCTACTGAGCCTCATGGCAGCTGAGGCAGCTGACAGCACAGTTGCCACCTGCTTCCACTTAGCAGGGGAAACAGGAGGCTTCCTATTTTTTTTGGAGGGGAGGTGTTTTCTCAGTGCTAAAGTGGGGGGAAGTGAGAGTCTTGTGTTTTTGAAACCTCAGGAAGGCAACACCATCTGACAGTCATTTTCTCACTTTGCCCTCGTGAAGTTGTCTTTCCCTGGTATGTGCACATCACACCGTCTCAGCTCCTTCATCACCTCCAAGAGCAGGGCACTGCTGCCCCTGGGCACGCCAGCCATGCTCCTGAAATGGATGGTGAGCCAGGGGCCAGGAAGGACGATGACCAGGAGAGTTGGTGACAGCCATGGCAGTGATGAGGGAGGAGAAGGGCACCCTGGTCATTAGTGGCTATGCACAAATCCGACAAGGAGAGTCAGAAAGATTTTTCTTTTTTAAATCATTTTCCTCAAGCCACTTGGGCCAGAGTTTATGAAATACACAGGACAGTCCCCATTCCCATCGTGTCCCCTTGGGGCCAATACAGAAAATCTAGGGGATGCTGTGTATTTCTGCTGTAGGAAAAATATAGGAAATTGGAAAAGGTTCCCTGAATTGTACGTGAATGAGGCARTCATCTGGAAACGGAGCCAACTCCAAACCTCTTGATTCTATGATGTCAGRGTTATTGGGGAGGGACGGAATTGTGCTGGACTCTGTCCCTTATGCCTGCCATTGGTGTGATCAGGTGTCATTTAAGAACTGGAAGTTGCTCACAGTCATCAACAGCCTTACAATGACCCTACACTAAAGCCCACAATTTYCAAAGACTTTTTTTAACCTGAAGGAAGAAATGAATTTGTTAATTCCAACAGGGATAACTGAATATACTGGGCTCTTTGTACTTTTTTATAATGAATTTTAATAACTCAACTCTTCTTTTAAAATGAGTTTTTAAAATAAAGCTACTAACAATTTCAAAAAAAAATTCAAGTTGGAGTCTGTAGGAAGACTCAACCCAGGTCAGATAGAGCACCCCTGACCTGCATTCCCACTGTAGGATTTTCCCATGCTGGTGGGTATGAAGTCTGCAAGTTCAGGTGGAACTTGTTGGCAGGCTGAGGCTGTTCTTAATCGATACTGGGTTTAGATATTTTTGAACTGTAGGAAAGATGTCTTATTGACCGMATCCAGATGCAGCCCTGGGATATCATTCCTGGGGTCTCTGGGACCCCTTTGCTTGCTCTTTGAGGCTCAGTGACTACATTTTAGCAGGAGCAGGGGGACACTTTCTCAGCTCTATTCCCAGTCCCCTCTGGTCCCCGGTCTCTTGTGTTTGGTGAAAACTCAGAGATTCCCTGCAAAGGTTTGCCCATTGGGCAATTCAGAAAAACTTTTATATCACAAGGAATAAGAGGCAGCAGCAAATGTGCCCACTGGCCTATTTTCACATTTATTGCATCTGTGAATAGGCAGAACCCCACTTTTCACAAAATAGGTATCCAGTCCACTTTATAAGAATCTCTTTTTCTAAAATGAGACAAAAGGTGGCTTTGCATTTTCTGATTAAACAACCATGTCTTTGCTTAACTTTAGGAATATCAATGCCTGTGATTGTAGCTTCTTATTGATTTTCTTTCTGGAAGAATGTGATTCTCTTCTTGAGGGGTTTTATTGGACTAATCAAAACTGTACATGAAGGCAGTTACTATTTTGAGGCTAAAGGTTTTCTAAAAAAAAAAATAACCTCATATTCTTACTATTAGAGTCTTTCAGAATCTTTTATAGATGATCARAAACATTTGAAATTGCTTTTCCTACATGATTGGTGTGCGTGTGTGCGTGTGTGAAGGCCATGCCCTGTKTAAATCATTAATTGAAAAAAACATCGTCTGAGACCCCAAATTTGTAGGGAGGAAGAAATGGAGGTTGAGGGTTTTCCTTCTGCGTTAAGCACCTTCTGACAGAATACAGAGGCCGTTCGGCTGTCGACTAGCGTTTGGTTCTACCGCAGGTGAAGTGGATGTATAAATTATTGCATTGCTCTCCTCGACTCGTATAACCTCTAATCTTTGTTTGCATGACATGCTTTGTTAGATACATTAATTGTAGTTTGGAAGCAAGTGTGTATGAATAAAGGTAATGATCACTCCCTAGGGTGCCTGGTCTCATTAGCGTCCCTCTGCGGCCCTGCCATGGTGTTTCAAGTGTTTGTCGGATAGCATCCAACTGGACACCACCTGCAGAGCACTTTCACCTGGCCATCTGTTTCAGGGGTGACGTGCCACTTCAAGTCACCCTTTTCTCCTTTGAAATGCTGCATGCTGTGAACCAAAGCCCAGTGACTGGGATAAAGTAGTGGCAGATCCTTCATCCATTCCCACATCAACCTTTCCTCACACACCTGCTCGGGGCCAGGATTGGGGCCAGGCCCTGGGGATACCCGTCTGGCCCCTGCCTCCATGGAGCCTACATCCCTGCACCTCCAAACTGCAGGGGACACTCAGCCACTGAGAAGGACACCCTCCAAGGACAGATGGTCCCCTTCTATGGGAAGGGAAGACTCCAAAAGAATTCTGGACTTCTTCTCCAGAAATACCCATGTCTAACACGTCCGAAGGACCACTCAGGACTGTGTCCCCACTTTGAGTGCCAGAGGCCCTCATTCCAGTATGGATTCATGGGTGAAAATTGGGGTAAATTTGCAAATGTGGAACATTCTGAAATGCCCCATATTGGGGAACTTAACACTCATGAGGGTATACCCTCAGAGGAGTTTAAAAAAAAAAACAACTCAGTTTCTAAAAGCTGAGGATCAGCAAGATGTCTTAGCTCGCCCTTCACTCCTCCCTCTCAGGCCTGTTTACCTCCCACTCAGGGCTTCACGGCACCGCCCACAGCCCCCTTGTCCCGCAGTGCTCATCCCAGGATGGCCCCTCCCAGCTCACTCCGCATCCAGTCTTGCCTGCCCTGGGCTCCTGCTGCTCAAACCCTGTTCCCAGCCCATGGAGCCGTCCCCTGGTGTTAGTAGCTACTAGGTCTGTGTCCATCTCTGAGATGCTATAGCCACACTTGACCTGAAGTCGGGGGTCTTCCAGCTGCCAATGCAAGGGCACGGGGTGGCAGGATATTTTGAGGAAAAGCAAAGGGTGCTTTGAAGGCCCTTGGAGCAGTGTTGCCTGACTCCTGTGCTGGCCTTGAACTTCACTCTGGACTGGTGGATGTGACATGTCTGTGTAGACTGTGGCCGTTCTTCACATGACCCAGGAGGGTGGCCACAGTAGGAATTGAGCTCTTTTATTTCATGTTTTCTGCGGTGCAGTGTGGAGCACAGCAGATCATGCTACCCAGAGCAGCTGCTGGCCGGGAGGACCTGAGTCAGGCCACTGTGTGGACCTTGAGGAGCTGGGGTCCAGAGGCACAGACAGGGTCAAATAAGGCTGGTCTGCCCAGCCTCACACAGGCCCAGGGGACAACCTGAGCACCAGGTGGCAAACCGTGTCCTTCGGGTATATGGAGCCACCCAGAGCAAAGGCTCAGGAGTGCTCTCCTTCCCATGCCCACCCCTGCCCATGGACACCAGGTGCACCGGCAGGTGCTGTGGGGTTCCTCTTTAAGTCAAGGGTCTCAACTGGGGCCATTCTGCCCGCCCCCCGTGGCACATTTGGCACAGTCTGGTCGACAAAGCAAGGGAGATGTGTTACCAGTGTCCAGTGGGAAGAGGTCAGGGAGGGAGACCGCTGAACAGCCTGCCATGGGCGGCACAGTCCCTGCAACAAACTGTCACCTYGCCTCCTTGGTGGTGCTGCCGTGGAAAGCCCTGTTCTGAACCACACTCCAGGTTCTTAGCCTCCACTCCACCTCCCCTGCTCGGCCTCCCTGAGGCCACACTTGATCTCCACGCCTGCCCTGCCTGGCAGCCAGGAGGATGTCGTTTGAGCAGGTCCCTGCCCTGTTTAAAGCCCTCTGATTTCCCATCACAGACAGGCCCACCAGGCTCCACCTGCCCGCCCACCCCGGCTCTTGGCACACAGGTAGGAGGCTGTGCATGTCTGTGTCCCCTTGGCACCAGAATATGAGCCCTATCAGAGGAGGCAGCCTGCCCCTCCCCTGCACTGCTGGATCCCAGTGCCTGGAACAGAGCTGGCGCAGCATAGGAGCTCCAAAGAGCGTTTGCTGGATGCGTGAATGAATGAGTGGATCAAGAACGCTGTGACCCAGCAAGATGTAGCAGAAACCGTGCTCTGGCCCCGGTCCCTGTCCTGGAGGTGTTCACAATCTGAGTACACGCAGACCTGCTCAAAGATCGTCTTTCAAAAACTTACTGTGAGCTTAAGCCCAAACCCAAGTTCTCCCTCTCTATCCTCCAGCCCAGAATCTGGAGGCAGTGTCCCTCATGTGATTGTTTAACACCCTGAGCCTTTTCCCCTGGCCTCCTGTGAGCTCTGGTTATCTAAAATGTTAAGGCACGTAGACAAAGGCCCTCTCTGTCCCTCCCCCGGAGTGTGCATGGCAGGGAGCAGGGTCTTGCCCACAGGGAGTGAGCGAGGAAGGCTTTCGGCTCCAAGAAAGCAGAAATGAATGTCCCCTCAAGATCTTTTTTTTTTTTTTTTTGCTAATTCAATATCTACACTGCAGACAGGCCTGTTCTAGGCCTGAGAGGAGAAAACAGAATATCCAGAGATATGAAAGGGGCTGGCCGTGGGCTCCAGGACCCAACAGATGCAGGTGAAAATGAGGGGAGAAAAACACATCACAAACTCAAGTGTGCAGCTGTGTGCACACACACACTGGTGGTTTCCAGAGGTGGGCTAGGCACGCTCCAGTCACTTCACATGCATTTATCTAAAGACCATAGTGACCGCCACCCCAGGTTCAACATATTTACCTTGTTCATCTTACAGAAGGAAAAAGTCCAGAGAAGTTAAATTGCAACCCCCAGGTGAGCCGACAACTGTARGCACAGAGATGTGAGCCCTACAGACACTTCCTGAAGGGGAGACAGGGAGGCTGCAGTCTGATGGGGGAGAGGCTGGAAAGAGGAGGCCAGCAGCCAACAAGCTGGGGAAGAGCTGACGCTCACCCTGCACCTGTGTACAAATAGGATCATGTCATTTAATCCTCATGGAACCTTCCATGGGATAGAAATCATTATTCCCATCTTACAAATGGGGAAACCAAGGTCCAAGAAAATGAAACAGCTTCTGAACACATAATTCATAAGAGGCACAGCAAGGCTGGGCACCAGGTCTCTCTGATCTTTCTGACCTGAGCCTGCTCAGCAGATCACAGACACAGCAATGGGAAGAGGGTACACAACCAGGGCCCTCCTGGGACCTTCTCTCCCTTGGTAGCATTCTTCAAAGGCCACACCGGTACCTCGAGGGAGTTTGCTTCTCTTGGTGGAATCAATGCCATGAGTCTAGATGTCCTCTGAAACTGTTTCTGGAAGCCTCTCTCCCACCTTCACCCTCCTTCTGWCTTTTTTTTCAATCCCTGGGTGTGGGAGGAGAGAGAAAAATAGCATACAGTTCTCAGAACCCAGCAGGTACCTGGCAGCCACCCCCACTGGAGACTCGCCACCCCAGAACCCAGGGAGGAGGGGACAGTGCATGGCTGGCCGCTGGGCTCCCCCTCCATGGCAGGACAGCCCTGGAATCCACACGCCTTCCCCAAGAAGCAGGAACCATGGAGGGGAGCATGGCTAGTGGGTGGGGACTTGTCGGAGTGGAATATCTGTGGCCTTGGCCATGGGCCGCCCAGGGAGGAGAGCGSGGCTTGGTTGGGGCAGAATACTACAGGAAGGCTCTCACTTTTTACAAAGTCCACAAAAATCATTTTTGATTCTTGTAGCTCACAGAAATAAGGAGAAGCAAATCCCATCACCCCGAGATCACTACTGTCTTCCTTAATTTGCTGGCTTCTTCCCTTCATTGAATCAGTGTTTTCGTGACTGTCCCGCAGAGCCCCTCTTATCAACCCACTAGGACTGATCACCCAGAGCAGAGATCCCGGTTACCGGTGCACACATAGGTTAGCATCTGCCAAGCCTGTAAGAACATGCCATTTGGAAAAGCACCAGGCCCTTGGGGTGGGGGTGGGGTCTTATTCTTGCAGAAACTATACTCCTAAGGTTGGACTTGAGGTTTCCAATTTGATTTATTTGAAGAGAAGCAAGATCCAGAGGGACCCTGAGTGCAGAGTCCTTCTAGATATTCTCAGTGCCTCCAAGGCTTTCATCCTTGCCTTCCTCACCATGGAGCCATTTTTAAAAAACTCATCTTCATTCTCTTTCTTAAACATCCGATGTTGTGTTCACCGGCACAGCTCTGTCCTCGGTAATCATATCTCACCAGCATGTGCGGCGTGGGCTTCAATTAATTAACCACAAAGCACAGTCAGATGGTCCCCGAGGCTGCAAAAGTGACCCTCATTCGAAATAGACCCTACCTCCAGTTTGGACCTCCTCCCGGGCTAGCGCTAGATGGGCGGTAACAGTACCCCCGCGTGACGCTGGGCGGCAGCAGTGAGCCGCAGCTCCCAGCCAGCCTCAGGTCCGCAGCATGAGAGGAGGCCCCCACAGCGCACTACAGAGGATGGTCGGGAGGTCATTGTGTTTGATACTCTTTCAACTTCTATTTCCACTTTTCATTTTAAATATTTATTTTTTAGTTGTAGTTGGACACAACTGCTTTATTTGTTTCTCGGTGGTGCTGAGGATCGAACCCAGGGCCTCCCACGAGCTAGGGGAGCGCTCTATCACTGAGCCACAATCCCAGCCCTATTTCCACTTTTTAATGGATTTTGGAGAGGTGACCCCACTGTTAGTTGAAGAGCATTTGTATTAGTACAGTAGGTATTAAAAGTTGGGGGGAATAAATGGAGACAGTGAGAGAAAAATTGGATGGAAATGTGAGAAAATAGGAATTTGAAGGCAATAAAATGTCATGTGAGTTATTTAATGTTTAACCAAAAAGAAAGAATATTGGTTAATCCAGTAGACCTCAACAAGGAAAGGCTCCACTACAAAATGAACAATCATGTTGAAAGGCTGCATAATATTCCATTTTGGACATAGGCACATTACCTTATATTAAGGGAGAACATAAAGAATGTTCACTTCTGGCTGGGCACAGTGGCACGTGCTTGT